TATATTGGTGTAAACAAAACCATGAATCAACTGGCAGCAACACTTTCACGGTCCACTAAAGACATCGGTGGATTTGCGGTGATGTTTGCAGTATTTTTCTTTGCCTACGCTCAGTTTGGATATCTTGTCTTCGGCACTCAGGTCATAATTTATATCCCGGTTTTCGGAAAACAATGCAGATAAAACAGTAATATAACTGTGATTGATATTGACAGATTTCCGACTATTCAACGTTTTACAACGCTGTATTCGCTCTACTTCGAACTATACTCGGCGATTTCAACTATAGCGCACTAGAAAGGACAAATCGTATCTTGGGACCAATTTTCTTCATTACTTATGTGTTCTTCGTATTCTTTGTTTTGCTGGTACGGTAGCCACTGAGTATTCAAGCAATCAGTCAGATATCTTCCATTTCTAGAACATGTTCCTTGCAATCATCAACGATTCGTACGTGGAAGTGAAGGCAGAACTTGCACGACAACAAGACGGAGAGGGAATTTTTGATTGGATTAGAAAGGTAAGCTTGACTTTTGAGTACGAGTAAATCAAATCATTCACATAAGGACAAACTTTTACGCACAATATCTTCTGGAATTAGGCGAAGTCAAATAATTCTTCAATAAGTTCTGTAGGATTACAAGACTGTGAGGAATGTTCTGCCAAAGAAAGCAAAACTAATATTTAAGCCTTTTTCAGAAACTCACGGGTAAAAAAGAAACTGATAGAAAAGCGGTGACTTATAATGAATACAAGATCGATTTGATGATGTGAGTGATTTATGCAAGTTAAGTCACAGTTCAATTTTTTACTATCTTTAGGGCTGGATATCAAGAGAAAGACATCAATAATGCATTCGAGAAGCTAAACATTCGCTTTACGGATAAAGTTCATGACGATGTATGGATTGACATTTTTGGTGATAGAAGAGTTTTTGATTAAAATTTTAGGCCCTGATTGAGATAGGAAATGAAATTCGTGAGCAGACAAAAAGAAAGAAAGTTATCAATGAAGAGTATCGATCAGCTGCTGTGTAACTCAATCATATATTGCTCAATCTATGTGCAATTACATAAATTCTATAAATAGGTTAACTCGTCGAGTTGACATGATGGATAACGCAATTCTCAACGTCGTCGATAAACTTTCACAAGTACTCGACCAACTAAATCGCATTGAAAATGCAAGGGTGAAAGCAAAGGAGCACGAGAACAGACTGCGAGCTGAGGTTATTTTAACATAAACATTTTTGTGATTGAAGAAAAGCAATATTTTCAAGCGAAACGATTGTTTAGGCTCTAATGATGGAAGCTTACCGTCGTGGTGAAATTGGAGACGAAAGTGACATTGAAAGGGAAGAGGATCGCCGTGAGAAATAGATAGTCTTAGAAACCAGCATATGTAGCTTATGAGCATAGCAACTTTGACTGTATAGGCCATTCAAGGATCGTGAAAGTTCACACAATCACGACCGCTTCGCGCGTAGCATTAGGTGCCAATCAGCGTGAGCTAATTGGCTTTAAGCTAAATCTGTTAAAACCTGCTGTAACTGCATGTTCTATCAAAAAAGTATGTTTTTCACGGATTTTCTACTTATTTTCAGTTTTTCTTTTTTATTTTAGATGCAAGATTTTATTTTAGATTTTAACATTTTTTTCACATTTTGTTTTCTTTACAAATTCCTAAACGTTCATTTTAGATTTGCTTTCAGTGCAACACATTAAGGTAAGCGTGATTTTTCACGCTTTATAATCTGGTGTTTACACGTGCATGCAATCCTCAGTGTTTATGTTTTTTTAAAATGTTTCTTTTGTTTTCATTCATTTACTGTCCGAGTTATAGTTTTTGTACACATGGATGCACATGTAAACTCCGGATTATAAGGCGTAAAAAACATGGTTACCTCAATGTGATGCATTGAAAGCAAAACTGAAATGAATGTTTAGGAATTTGTGAAGAAAACAAAACGATGTGGAAAAAAATGTTAAATATAAAAGTTAGATAGT